CCAGACATTTGGTCACTCTAGGGGAGACTGTCTCCCTGACCATCAATTATGCAGAGGGTGGGGGAAGGGCAGAGATGTGACAAGAGGGGGGTGGATGTCTCTGGCAGTCATTTGAGCAACCATATTAACCAAGTGCTTACTATGCAGAACTCTGCTACAGATTGGGTGAGGAGACCACTCCTCTTCTGAGGGACGAGGTTCTTTGGGCCTCCTGGGAGGTCCTATTTCAGATTCCCATCACCTGAATCAGTAGAAGAGGCCCTGGTGGCACAGTGGGTTAAACATTGCTCTACAAAAAGTTGGTAGTTTGAACCTACTAGCCACTCCATGGGTGAAAAACAGAGATAGTCTGCTCCCATCAAGATTCACTACTTAGATTTTCTTGTTAAAAGAAACATTCTGTGATGGCTACCAATAGTGGGAGGGAAGGGAAATGATTCATGGGCTAGAGGGTAGCCACACACAGGTAACATGGGTGACAGGATAGGTTGGCAGAGGGGCAATCTGCTCCCATAAAGATTTATAGCCTTGGAAACCCTGTACAGGGCTGCTATGAGTCAGAACTGACTCCATAGCACATAACAACAACAACTATAAAATGCTGGGACATGGAGGGGGTTGCAATGAAGCAAAGTTTATGGTTTGTTGAATATAAAACTGATGATCTGCTCTGTAAACCTTCACTCAATTCACCGTAAAAAGTTAAAAAAAAAAAATTAAAAAATTTGCAGCGTCGAAAACCCTATGGAGCAGTAGTCTATTCTGTTCTGTAGGGTTGCTATACATCTGAATCGACTGGAGAGCAGTGGGTTTGACTTGATTTGTTTTTAAATCAGCAGAGAGCATGAAATGGCTCCATGCCCCTGGGCACCATCCTTGATGCCAAACTCCTTTGACTCCAGATTTCAGCTACACCAAGATTGTTTTGCTGGTGATTTCCAAGGTGCCCCATCAGAAGGCTGTAGTGCGGCAGAGTGGAGATAAGGAGTCACCCACCAATTATTCTTCCTCCTGGATTCTCCTGTCTGAGATGTTGAAGGCCTGTGGCAAAGAAATCCCCTGAATTCTCACTCATATGCTCCTGTCCTAAGAGCAGAATGGTTGTCTTGGGACTCAGTTCAAAGGCCAGGAATGCCTAAATCTTAGGCTCTTAAGACGAAGCATTCTCTTCAGTCCTAGAACTCATTTTCCACTCAGGAGTAGGAAAAGTTTCCTCTTCTCTTGAGTGGGGCAAGGAGGAAAAGGAGACCCAAGCCTTTGTAATCCCAGTTCCCACCTCTTCAGGCTTTGAGACCCTGGGAGGGTAAAGAACTCTGATCCTTGATGGCCATGCCACCTGTCCAACTTGACTTCTGCTTGGTTTTATTAATTTTTTTTTATAGGGTCTATGGCGCTCTGGTAGTGTAGTGGTTACGAATCGGGCTGCAAACCACAAGGTCAGCAGCTCGAAACTACCAGCTGCTCCGCGGGAGAAAAACGAGGCTTTCTGCTCTGTAAAGATTTACATCCTCAGAAACGCTGTTCAGTGTCGCTATGGGTTAGAACCGATTCGACAGCACTTAACAACAACAACAACATGGCGCTGGCTCAAGTTATCTAAGATGGAAGGAACTACAGCTTTTCTCAATGTCTTTATGAGGAGGAACTACCTTCTCCTGAAAACCTGGAGATCACCCCTAAACCCAAGTCCCCAGTTGTCACTAGGTCAAGGTTGTAGACTCCTAGTAGCTCTTCTCCCAGGAGAGTGGGCAATGAAGGGACTTGAGGCAGGACAGAGGGGCGGTTTAGGAAAAAAGAGCCAGTTTTGGATTTGGTGATCAGGGCCTCTAGAACCCCACTAATTCATTTAAGTACAATAATGAATTATTGCTCTTTGAAACACGCAGCCCTACCTTATCAGGTGGTGCGAGGGAAGGAGGATGGTGTAGGGAGTGCAGTGAGCATGCGGCCTGGTTCCTTGCTTTGCCTTCTTGCTTGGCTGGCTACCAGGTCTGTCTTTGTGGATCCTGAAGAGGCCATCTCTTCTGCCTGACCAGATAAAGGGAGACTTGTTCTCCGACCTTCTAGTACGCCAGGTGAAATCTCAACACCAGGTTCCACTGCTACCAAATCACAATGATAGTGGTGTGCTAGAGTCCCCAACAATTCTCCCAGATCCTTAGTCCTTCCTCTACAAATCCTACTTTTCCACATTCTCTGAACTGAGGGGAGAGCCTGATCCTCTGCTGTCCATCATTGCCTTCTGGCCAGTTCTTTTTGGAATCTGCTTTCTTTAGCAGTTGCACCACTATGACTCTCACCTTGATCCAGTGGGCCAGTATGACCTTCAGTCCCACTCACTAAGGGCCAAAGGGAAGAGGAAAAGGAAGTCCTTTCTACTCAGAACCTTAGGTGGACTTAGAAAGTAGTTCCTGAGCTGAATGTGCCCATAAACGACCTGGAAGGGCAACTACCACAGTGTAACACTTTGTAAGTAGGTGGCATTATGAATGTTTAAAATTTCTTTTTTTGTCTTATTATATTTTAAAATATTTCAGTTATAAGGTTGCATTTCTTTTGTAGTAAATAAAAAAGGTACTTAAGTGAAGACAGCTGTGCTTTAGAGGGAGGGTGGCTAGTGTGGTGGAGAGAGACCAGACTTAGAATCAGAGAGGCTTGAGATGAGGTCTTATTATCCCTGTTCCTTATCAGCCAGGTGACCTTGATTACCAGACTTATTAACTTTGGTTTCTTCATCTCTAAATGGGGACAATGGCACCTCTCCCAAACAGTGGTAATGAAGTATAAGATGTTGCAGGTAAAAGCAGATTCTGGCTCATACTGAAGTTCAAATCCTAGCTCAGGCCATATACTAACTTTCTGATGCTGAATGAATGACTTATTTGACGTTGTTGTTTAAGTGCTATTGAGTCAGTTCTGACCCATAGCAACCCTGTATAAGGTTTCTAAGGAGCAGCTGGTGAGTTTGAACTGCCAACCTGTGGTTAGAAGTTCACAACTTAACTCTTAGGCTTGTTATAAGCATTACTGAGGCAATCCAAATGAAGTTCTTGGCCCAATACTTGGCACATAGGAAGCTCTCTATAAACATTAGTTGTGTGGAAACTGTCTAAAACATAATAGCAGGTTCTTCATGAAGATGAGTTATCTTCCTTTCTCTCTTCTCAAAGCAAGAGGCAGTAAGTATAGATGGAAAGGGAGGCAGAGAAACGAGAGGAGAAAAGGAGAGTAAAAAAAAGAAGAAACCAAGGGCAAGGGCTCTTTATCCTGGATGATCCTTTTCTGGAATCTTCTCTGGAATAGTATTACTGTCTCCTTTTCCCCTTTCCCTAATACACATGTGACCCTAGTCCTGGGAGCAATGAAGCACACAGACCAGTTTCTGGAGTCAACCAACCAACCCCTCATGAAGCCCCTAGGTCACCTACTAGTGTCATCTCAATACTATCCTCCTTGTGTCCCAGCAGGAATTCCTCAAGGGGTTGATTTCCCAATCCTTTCTTCCCAGACCCTGGCAGCAGAGAAGCAGAACTACATAGGACAAGCCATAGGAGAGTCCAGAGTGGTGGGTACTAGAATTTAGGGTCCTCTTCTTGGCAAAGGCAGATTCTACCACAGTATAATCACAGAGGGAAGGACTGTGGAACATTCTCAGCTGTAAGGAACCCTAAGAAATCCTGAGCCACTTCCTTAACTTGAACTCCCTGCCTACTCTGCCTCCATAACTGGGGGACGAGTGTTTTCATGTGTGCTGGGAATTGGGAGTTTCATACTGTTGGTCTTTGCATGAACACCTGACCGCCAATGGGAGTGACTGGATAAGTGGCAGGTTTGAAAGGGCGGATACTTTTTTTTTCACCTATAAAGGTCGGATAGGAAGGACCAAGTCTCTAAAACTCCCAAGAAACTTCAGTGGCACTGCCTGAGACCCTTCTGCTTGCCTCAGCTTGGTATGACTCTAGCTGAAATCATATTCCCAGAGCACTGGAGTTCATCCTAAGAGGTGGAAGGGAAATGGTGTTTAGAGGGAGACATTATTTGTAGCATGAGAAACTAGGGGTGGGGTGAAGAGATTTCATGTGCACATCCTCCTGGCTTAAGGCCGCTCACCTATTTCCTCTCAAGAGGTAGCAGGTATCTAAGCTAAAACGTGGGACCTCCCTCAGTTCTAAGTGACACATTATTTCCTCCCTCTGTCTATAGAGCCTCTGGCCCCTTGTCTTTTCTCACCTCAGCCAAGTCCAACTTCAGGGAAAGGAGTCTTGCTTAATTTTATGCCAAGGAGTTTGAGGAGTATGTGGGGAAAGGGAGGAGGTTCTTGAAGGGCCTAAGCTGGAGGAATGAGTTAAGGGAGTCAGAGAAGATGGAAAGATGGGAGAAAGCCACATATGGATGGGGGAGGGGAGGATGCAACAGCTGAATGAAGAAGGTGAATGCCACAGCTGGAGGGAATTGGGGGCATCACAGCTAGAAGGGGAAGGAGACCAACACGCCTGGGCATCCCAAAACAGGTGCACACTGATTAGTCTTTAGTTCTCGTCTGCGGTTTGTGTGGGTGTAGGATGGGGGAGGGGTGACAGGGGTAGCAATGGGTACAACAGGACTTGCCCTTCCTTTCCTTCCCAGGAGGGAGCCAAAACTCTTTCTCCTTCTCTTCCTCTTCTTGAGGAAGAGAAGGAGACGTATTTTCTCCTGCCCTCTGTCCTTTAAGTCTGTCCCCCAACCACCCCTCCCCCTCCTCTTCCCGCAATACAGTCATTTCCAGCTTGGGGAAACCCTTCGTCTCCAAGCTGGGCCGCGGCGTACCTCCGTTCGGTTCCCCTCCTTCCCTACCCCCACAGGTATCGCGTCCAGGTCCCCGGTTCCCCAATTCCCACAGCATCCCCGCGCCACTCCCTCCCCCACACCACATCTGCATCCATACCCTCCCTTCGCACCCAGATCCCAAGACCCGGACCCATCTCAAACCCCCACCCTCCACAACTCGGCCAGGCTCTCACCTCGGGGGCTCGGCGGCCGCAGCACAAAAGGCGGCGCTGCTGCAGCTCCGCTCCGGATGCTGCTCCCGCCTCCTCCTCCTTCTCCTCCTCCTTCCCTCCTCCCCTCGCTGCCCTCGACCGGACCCGGGTCGCTGTCACTTGGCGAGGTTCGTGCGGTGTCCTGGAGCACGGGTATCAGCCCCAGCTTTATGACCCCACCCCCATCCCGACCCCTAGCCCTGTCGAACTCCCGCTCCTTTCAGGGCTCCCGCCCCTGGCCCCCCGGGACGGACACGCCCTGAGCTGGGGATGCTGCGCTGGAGCCGTCGGCCTCTTAAAGGAGCCCGCTGCTGCCATCCGGCGTTCTCCAGGCGCGTCCCTGGCCTGTCTGCGTCCTACGCCTCCCTGCTGGCGGTATCCTGTAGCGGTCTTAATCTGGGCCTTATGCTGAATCTGTAGGAGCCCCTCCAACCCATCTTATAAATTCCCACCTATACTCTGAGACAACAACCCCTCAGATGGGACCTCCAGCGCTTTGGCATTGCTCTCTTCCCATAATGGTCTTGCCAGCTCTCCTTCCCGGAATTGCGCTCTGCTCCAGGACCCCTTCCTCTTCTTGATCATTCCAAGATTTCTCTGAACCTTCAACCTCAGCTCGGACTTCTCTAACATTTTTCGTGATTTCTGTCTTTAAGGTCTCAAGATTTCCCCTCTATCTCTTAGCCCAGTGGTCACAAGACTTGGTAGAATCTTGCTCTGGGTTCTGTTCTGCGCTCAGATTAGTCGGTTTAGTTACCAGAAGTCAGCATCCTCCCTCGCTTTATCTTAGAAATTTAAACTCCAGGACAGAGGGAGCGAGAACAATTTCATCTGACAACCGGATCCTCAGGTCCCTGAGGGGGAATGCCTAGTTAGAGGTTCACCAGGGCCGCTGTAAAAAGGCTTTGGAAAGGAGGAGGATAACGTCTAGAAAAAGGAACAGGTTTTAGGAAACGAAGTCCTGATAAACAGCAGTTTAGGCCAAGGGGTGAGGGGCAAGTTGGGTGCACAACTGTCCCAGTGCCCGGGGAGGTGGATGGGGGTGGCGCTAGAGCATAATCCTCCCCCTCCGGTGTCCAGGTAAAGGTCCACCTTCCTAGACCTCAGAGCCAGAATCCGGCAGCACCTTCACCGCGGGACCAATTACAGTCTTTCTTCAGGAAGAAGGCGTGGTCAGGAAGGTGACTCTTCCCCTTGTTCCCGCCCTCTTAATCAAAGCAACCAACCAGAACCTAGGAAACTAAATCGGGATAACCAATCACGTCCCGATATTTTCTAGTGCGTGTTAGACCCGGCCCCTTCAGCTGCGACAAAGATGGCGCGCAAGCGCCTGGGTTCTGTAGTTCTATCAAAAGGCCCCATTTTAGAGCTCGCCCTTACCGCCCTGCCCCCCGCGGCTTCCACTCTGCTAGTGCGCATGTCCACAGCTTCGTAGTAAAGGAGACGCGGCAGGAGAGGAAGGGTGGTATTTAAAAAAACAACAATTAAAAACAAAACAAAACAAAAAAACCCTCAGCTCGAGTAACGCCAGATAAGGGAACTGCTTCTCCCAGAAGGCGGTGCAGTTTGACAGAGTGAACCACTTGGAGGGATGTAGGGCGGATGGCTCCCCTCTTGATGGAAACGCTCGACGGAAGGTGGGCGGGGACTCCATATCCCAGCATGCCCTGTGGCCGGCCCTACCGGCCGCGACTCCGGGCTTGGTCCCGGCCCTAGCTTGTCGGCGTGTATTGGGACGCGTGGAGGCTGCAGTCAAGGTGGCGCCCGCGGGGACGGCGGAGGGAATGAGTGAAGAGGAGCAGGGCTCCGGCACTACCACGGGCTGCGGGCTGCCCAGGTGAGCCGCCTTGTAAGGAGCCCTGCAGGGTGAAAAGCGTTGCGCTGTGTGGAGGGGGTAGCGGCGCGGCCCCAGCATGCATCTGGCCTAAGGGTTGTTCCCAGCAAGCACTAGAACACGGACAGTCATTCCCGGCATGCACTAGGTAGTGACCCCTACCTCCAGCTCTCAATAGTTTAGTTTCTCTGGTTCCCAGCCCACGTCCTGGGGCACTGGGCTTTATGACCCCGGTATTCAGTGCATTTGGTGGGTACTGGGTTCCTGGTCTGCACTGTGACAGGGGACATGCACTTTTTACAGTGGGGTACAGGATCCCTGCCTTAACTGAGATAGAAACTGCACATTTCCCTCCTTCGCTGGGGCAATGAACCCTGCTTTCCCAGCCTGCACTGTATGCCACATTGAACCCAGCCAATGGCTGCTGTATTGCCAGGGTCCCATGGACCCTGTGTTTCATAATGTGCCTGGGTCTGGTATGGCAGTGCTTGGTCAGATGGGTGAAGGGAGGGAAGGTGTGATGTGGGTCTGTGCCCCCTCCCCTCAGTATAGAACAAATGCTGGCCGCCAACCCGGGCAAGACCCCGATCAGCCTTCTGCAGGAATATGGGACCAGAATAGGGAAGACGCCCGTGTACGACCTTCTCAAAGCCGAGGGCCAAGCCCACCAGCCTAATTTCACCTTC